TAGGTCTTTTACATCCCTGGTTAGATTTATTCCTAAATATTTTATTTTTTTAGGGGCTATTATAAATGGTATTGTTTTCCTGATTTCTTTTTCGTTGATCCCTTTATTGGTGTATAGGAATTCAACTCATTTTTGTATGTTTACCTTGAGTCCTGCTACCCTGTTGAATCTCATTTTTAGTTCCAGTAGTTTTCTCCTAGGGTCTTTTGGGTTTTCTATGTATAGTATCATATCATCCACAAAAAGAGACAGTTTTACTCCTTCATTACCAATTTGAATGCCCTTCATTTCTTTTTCTTGCCTTACTCTAGCTAGGAATTAAGGCACATAGTTCAATAGGAGTGGCGATAAAGGGCAAACTTATATCCTTCCTGTTCTCAAGGGGAATGTTTTCAGCCTCTCTTCATTAAGAATAATGTTGGTTGTTGGTTGTGTATAGATGCTCTTTTTTATGTTGAGGAATTCCCCTTCTATACCTATTTTATGGAGAGTTTGTATCAGGAATGGGTGTTAGACTTTTTTCAATGCCTTTTCTGTGACAACTGAGACGACCATGTGATTCTTTTATTTTATTTTGTTTATGCGGTGGATTATGTTGATAAATTTTCTAATGTTGAACCATCCTTGCATACCTGTTATAAATCACCTTTGTTCATGGTGTATTATGTTTTTGATATGACGCTGAATTCTATTGGCTAGACTTTTGTTGAGAATTTTTGCATCTATATTCATGAGAGATATTGGTCTGTAATTTTCTTTTTCTGTGGTATCTTTGCCTGGATTTGGTATCAGGATTATGCTGGCTTCATAACATGAATTCAGAAGTATCTCTTCCTTTTTTATCTTCTGAAATATTTTGAGTAGTTATAGTGTAAGCTTTTTTCTGAATGTTTGGTAGAATTCTCCAGTGAAACCATCTGGGCCATTGCTTTTTTTTTTTGTTGGGAATTTTTTTTTATTAGATTTTTATTTTCTTCTCTTGATATTGGCTTCTTCAAAGTATCAACTTCAGTTGGTGTTATTTTGGGTAAGTAGTGTGTATCTAGTAATTTGTCCATTTCCTACAGGTTTTCAAATTTGTTTGAGTTTAGTTTTTCACAGTAGTATGTTACGATCTTTTTTATTTCAGGAGAGCGTGTTGTAATGTCCCTCATTTCATTTATTATTTGGGTTATTTACCTCCTCTGCTTTTTTTTTTTTTTTTTTTTTTTTTTTGGTTTGTCAATTTTTTTGTTTCTTCCAAATAACCACCTTTTGGTTTTGTTGATTCTCCTATTATTTTTCTGTTCAGTATTTCATTTATTTCTGCTTTGTTCTTTATTATTTCCTTTCTTATGGTGGATATGGGCTTCTTTTGCTGTTCTCTTTCTATTTGTTCCAGCTGTGTAGCTAATGTTTGATTTTGTTCCTTCTTTTTTTTTTTTTTGGATATCTCTATAGGTATAAATTGACCTCTGAACTCTGCCTTTGCTGTGTCCCAAAGGTTTTGATATGATGTGTTTTCATTCGCATTTAATTCTATGAATTTTTTGATTCCATCTTTGATTTATTCCATTACTTAGCGGTTTTTAAGCAGCATGTTATTCAGTTTCCATATGTTACTTGCTTTTTTTTTTGATGCTCTTCCTTTTATTGCAGTCCTGGTGCCGCAGTGGTTAAGAGCTTAGCTGCTAACCAGAAGATCAACAGTTTGAATCGACTGTATGTTCCTTGGAAACCCTATGGGGCAGTTCTATTCTGTCTCATATGGACACTATCAGTCAGAATTGACTCGACGGCAGTGGGTTCAGTTTGTTATCTTCCTGTTATTAATTTCTACTTTTATTGTGTTGTGATGAGAGACGAGACTTTGTATTACCTTAATGTTTTGGATTTTGTTGAGGGTTCCTTTGTGGCCTAAGATTTGGTCTATTCTGGAAAATGTTCCATGTGAGTTGGAAAAGAATGTGTACTTTGCAGCTGTGGATCAAGTGTTCTATATATGTCTATGAGGTCAAGTTGTTTGTTTTTGCCCTTAAATCTTCAGAATTTTTCTGAGTTGCTTTCTAGATGTTCTATTCTTTACTGAAAGTGGTATGTTGAAGTCACCTACTATTATTGTGGAGCTGTCAGTTTCTCATTTCAGTGCTGCTGGAGTTTGTCTGATGTATTTTGGAGCCCTGTCATTATTGTGTAGATATTTATTATGGTTATGTTTATTTGGTGGATTGGCCCTTTAATCACTGAATAATGTCCTTTGTATTTTATGGTGAATTTTGTTTTAAAGTCTGTTTTATCTGAGATTAGTATTGCCACTCCTGCTTTTTTTGGTACCTGTTTACTTGATGTATTTATTGCCATCTTTGATGTTTAGTAATTTTATGTCTTTGTTTCCAAGGTGTGTCTTTTGTAGACATAATTTTGATGGGTCCTATTTTTTTTAATCCATTCTATCACTTTGTCTCTTTAAGGGTACATTTAGTCCATTTACATTCTGTGTGATTATTGATAAGTATGAGCTTATTGTTGTCATTTTGTAGTGTTTTTTTTTTTTTTTTCCTCTGTGTGTGTGTGGTGCTGAAGTTTTCTTTATTCCCCTTACTCTTTGTGCTGAATTTTTTTCTTGTGGTTTTTTGTTTGTTTCTTCCATTTTTGTAGATTTTGTGTTTACTGAGACTTTACGTTTTTCTTCTTTATTTTGATGAATAGGTTTGTTAACTTTCTATGTGGTTACCTTGAAATTTTCTCCTATCTAAGCTTGCACCACTCTTTTATTACTTAGTATGGCCTTGAATTCCTCTCCATTTGCAATTCGATACCTACCATTTATTCCCTCTTTTATTGTTCTGATGTTGTTGTCATTTACACATTAACTGCTGTGGTTCCCTGTTGTAAATATTTCAGTTTTGTTTTATCCTTCAGAATTTATTACCCAGGTTGGTATCTGGCTGATGCAGTCTTACATCCTAGATTCAGGCTGTTGCCTGATGTTGTTAGTTCTCTAACTGAAGAACACCCTTTAATAATTCTTGTAAGTTTAGTTTAGTTTTCACATATTTTTTTAAGTTCTCTTCATCTGGAAATGTCCTAATTCTGCCATCATATTTGTGTGAGAGTTTTGCACCATAGACTACTCTTGGTTGGCAATTTTTTTCATGCAATGTTTTATGTATGTCATCCTTTTGCCTTCTTGCATGCATGGTTTCTGCTGTGTAATCAGAGCTTAGTGTTATAGTTTCCCCTCTGTATGGGACTTTTCATTTTTCTCAAGTTGTTCACAGGATTCTTTCGTTGTCTTTGGTTTTAGCAAATGTCATTATATGTCTTGGTGATTTTTTTTTTGGAGTCTATCCTGTGTGAGTTTTGTTGAGCTTCTTGGATTGTCAGCTTTTCATCTTGTAGGATGTTAGGGAAGCTTTCTGACACCAAATTTTCAATAACCATCTCTGTGTTTGATGTTTTTTTCCCTCTTTTCTGTAACTCCAACCACACAGATTTTTGCTTTTGATTGTATCCCATAATGTTCTCTGGGTTTCTTCATTTTTCTTTGTTCTTTCCTCTGATTTTTCCTCAAATAATGTGGTCTCCAAGGATTTGTCTTCAATTTAGCTGATCTTGTCTTTCATTATTTCCAGTTTGCTCCTAAAACTTTCTATGGCACTGTCCATTTCTGAAATCTTGTTTACCTTTTGAATTCCTAATTTCTCTTTTTGTATGATTTCTAGTTGCTTGTTTATTTCGACATTTTGTTCCTGTATTATTTTCTTGAATTCTTCTATTGTTTTCTCTGTCTCGTCCACGATTTGTCTGTCTTTTGCATGATTTTGTCTATTTTTCTTATTTTTTCTCTATTTTGCTTTATCTCTTGGAAAGCCCTGAATATTAAAGTTTTGAATTCCCTAACAAGTAGTTTCAGTGTCTTTTCTTCTACCAGAAGAAGATTAGCAGTTGTTTCATTCCGGACACTTTTGGAGCTATCCTGTCCTGTTGTTTTTGTTCCTTTCTTTTAACATGTTTTGATATTCTCTTTTCTTTGGGACGTTCAGGAATTATTTTCTTTGTTTATTGATTTTTTAATCTGTTTTTTTTATTTATCTTGTTATATCTGGGCAGGTGAGCTGGGAATTCTTTGTTGTTTGCTCGTCTCTGGGCATCATACTTTTCAACATCTTGTCCAGGTGGGCAGGACTGGTTCCTCAGCTATGGTCCAGCAGGGTAGGTCCAAACGAGGGGTAGAGGTGGGGATGGGCCATTTCCAGCCCTTTTTGTGTACAACAAGGTGGGACCTCAGGCAGTGCAGGGTGAGGTCTGGTAGTTTGCACTTTGCCACTTAGGGATGTTGCTCACAATATGAGGTGCAGTTGGTGGGAGGGAAAGCTGAGCATGAGATTTGTAGAGCTAAGTGGTTTAGAGAAAGAACAGAGAGAAACAGAAACCAAAAAAAGAAAAAATTCTGCTGAGGGAGTCTGCTTGTGAAGTGGTTTGGACCCAGGGAAGCTGTGTGCCAGTGGCTTTCTTGCCAGGCCGTGTGGCACAGCCCATCAAGCAGGGAGAGCACTAGCACAAACAGCTAGATGGATGAGAGAAAGAAATGAAGGAAGGTAGAGAGAGATAAGAAACGGAAAAAAAAAAAGAAAAGAAATGTACACACAACCAGGTGACTGGGAGAAAGAAAAAGAAGGAAGTGAGATAGAGATTAAAAAAACAAAACAGAAAGAAAGACAAATTCTACACACAGCCAGGTGATCAACAGAAGGGAAAGGAAGGAATGTAGAAAGAGACAAGAAAGTGTGGGGAAAATAATGCCCCAGTGGAGCAAACCAGTGTGGTGGCATGGAGTGAGGAAGTTGTGTGTCAGTGGTTCCCAGCTGAGCAGTGTGGCACAACCCATCAAAAAGTGGCAGAGACAGCACACGGAGCCAATTGGTCAGAGAAAGGAAAGTAAGGAAGAATGAGAGAGAAAAGAAAGTGAGAATGAAAAAGAAAAACAAAGTGCCCCAAGGGAGTCCACAAGCAAGGCTGCTAGGACAGGTGAAGTCATGTGCCTGTTTCTCCCCAGCCAAGCAAGGTGGCACAGCCTGTCAAAAAGCTGTAGAGACAGCACACATAACCAGGTGGTCAGGAGAAAGGAAAGGAAGGTAGAGAGAGACAAGAGATGGCCCCTACCCCACAGAAAAGCCCTAATGGAGCCCACCATCGTGGCAGCACGGACTGGGAAACAGGCTCTCCAGTAGAGCAGTGCAGCACAGCCCAGCAGGATGGAGTGGAGATGCCACATGGCACTAGATATGCAGTAGAAAGTAAATGAAGGAGGCAAGAGAGAGAGAAGAAACAAAAAGAAGCAAAAAACAACAAAATGACACTGAAGGATCTGGCTGGGAGGGCAGGGTGAATCCAAGTAGCAAGGAGCCGGGATCTTTCTGGCTGAAGGACTGCACCCCACTGGAAAGTGGTGGAGGCTGTGCAGAGGGAAGAAAAGTGGGAGGCGGGAAAGCGTGTATCCCTGGTTATCAGGTGTTCTGTCTCCTGCTGGAAGCTCCATGAAGTTGCCTTCCAGTAATCCTTGTCCATTGATCTTTGTGGCTGAGGGGTCCAAGACAGAGAGTCCATGCTGCATTACCTGTTATGGGACCTCTGCACCGTAGCTCTCCTCATTCTCTGTTAGATACTTATTCCATTCGGTGCTTGTTTGAGTTCTTTATCCCTTCATTTGACGCTTAGGGTTTCAGGATTGATATTTGTCTGTTTTACTTTGTTTTTTGGGTCTTTGCTGTAGAGGGAGGATATGGTGTTTCTGTCTATAGCAGCATGTTTGCTCTGCCCCATTGACTTTATATCTCTTAAGGAATAAACTCTAAGGACGCATACACACACAACAGTAGAGGAATCAGTTTTCAATAATCACACTATCAGTCTTTTTTTTATTGTGTTTTACCCAGTAAATTAGTTTCTCATTCAAAAATGTATGCAGAAATTATTTTGTGAAATTAGTTTCAGTTCCCACAATGTGTCAGCACTCTCCGCCTTTCTACCCTGGCTTCCCTTTCTAACTCAGAACTGAAGCCACTCATATTATCTCTCTTAATATTGTTGTTTCTGTATGCCATCGTGTTGATTCCAACTCATAGCAACCATAAAGGACAAAGTAGAACTGCCCTTCAGTGTCTCCTAGGCTGTAATATTTATGAGAAGGAGCCCTGGTAGTGCAGTATTTAAGGCTAGGCTTCTAACCGAAAGGTCAGTGGTTCCAATACAGAAGGCACTCCCTGGGAGAAAGATGCGGCAGTCTGCTTCCATTAATCCCCAGGGTTAGTTGGTTGGTTTGAACCATTGATCTTTCATTTAGCAGCAGAGCACTTAACCATGGCAACATCAGGGTTTCTTTTAATATTGGTATTGTTATTCTAATGTGTGTGTGTTACTGTATATTATTTGCATAAAGCAAATAAATAATTGTGTTAATGTTGATAAGAGCTGAAACTTTCAGAGTAAAAGAAAATAGCTACAAGTATAAAATCAAAAAAGAATCTTACATTCTAAATTAGAATTTAAAATATTAGCATGAAATGTAAACAGTAGTGAAGGTTACATATTGTGAGTGCCATTTACACCACTGGATTGTACACTTGAAAATGGTTGAAATGGCCCGTTTGGTATAGGGTATCTTTTACCACCAAAAGCAAAAACAAAATTGTCCAGTATGTAGGCACAGTGACTTGAGCAATGTTATTCATTTAGATGGGATCTCAGGACCATAACCCAGATCTGACAAACCAGAATATGCTGCCACCCAGTTATCAGAAACCACAAACAAATTGCAAGGTCTGGTGAATTAGTGACTTACAAGAATATTTTTACTTTCACAGAGATATTTCATTAATGATGCCTTCTACAAACCTGGAGGCCCAATATTTCTGATGATTGAAGGGGCATTAACAGCCGATATATATCATCTATCAGTGAGTAATACCTGGGTTACGTATGCTGAGAGACTAGGCGCCCTCTGCTTACTTCTGGAACACAGATTTTATGGACTCAGCCAACCAACAGGGTAAATTTAAAGGTCTCTTTTTTTGTGGTTGTTCTCTTTGCTGTTGCTATGCTCTCTCTTTTTAATTTAGGCGATGTTACGTCTAAATATGTTCTTTAAGGGAGGTGAATATTTGAAAATTCAACTGGTAAGAAGAAAGTTCAACTGGTAAATGTAGGTAGAGGTTGGGGTTAAAAGTAATGTTATTGATAAAAAGAGTCATATGAAATTTCCTTTGAAAAACATATATTCCTTATGTACTGTAATTTCATGTTTTAACTTGGTATTTTCCTGAACACACTTAAAAAAAACGGCATATCTATTTTTTTCTACTTCAGTGGAATTTTATCCTTTGAAAATTATTGTCCTCATGGGAAACTGGTAATCATTCTGTTACAACAACTAATCAAATGTACCTAGATATTGTGTTAAATTTCAGACTGCAGTGTCAGAGAAGATAGCAAGAATATGAGAACTATTTTTGCCTCTATAGTATATTCTACTATTTTTTCCCCAGGAGAAAAATATATTTTAGCTTACTTACTTAAAATTATAAACTATTCATTGTATGAAGTCAAACAAATAGAATGAAGTTTAAAAACTGCCTCAAAAAGTTCTGAAAAATCCAATCTAATATCTGAATCGTTTACTATCATTAAAATAAGAAGTAAGGATTGCTTCCTATAACCCTGAGAATGTGAGTAGTGTCAGTGAAGAGGTACATTTATTACATGAATCATAATTCTTAGGACCTTTCACATGACAGACTAATAATTATTGAAGGTTTCACAGGCTTCTTTATAGCAGTGATTCCTCAAATATGATTTTTGGATTGCATGGCACTTAACTTTTGGTAATGTTGTGACACTCCAATATTTTTATCCATTCTACATTTCTTCATTAGAAACTTTGATTTGTGTGTGTATGTTAATGATGCTATGATAGTCTAAAAATAATTTGAAGTCTATGATTTCTTTATTAATCTCTCAAAGTAAATTGCTGTTCAAGAATGGAATAACTTGTGTTTTTGCAATTAACTATAGCATATAACTTGTTCGCTACCCAAATTAACTTCATGTGGTACACTTCATTAAGAATGTATTAGAAAGAACCTATAGCAGAATTTGGATTTTGAGCAATTAGGGGGAAAGTATAAGGATCTGAGAGATTACTCTTAGAAAGTAGAGTGAATTCTGTGATTGGATACTGTAATAAATCTTACCTACAGTTTTCCAGTTACATCTCATTGGCTCAATCTTACTCAGTAAGTCACTTCTGGCTGGAAGGGTGGCTGGTATGTGTAGTGTTTATTCTGGGCAGCCATGAGCCCAAATGAAACCAGGAGCTTTGATTACCTAAAGATAAAAGGGAGAGTAGATATAACGGGAAAATTAGTGGGTTCTGCTGTAGCTTCTTAGTAGAAGAATTGCTGAACCAAGGTATACGTTTTGTCTCTTGAAGTGCTTTTTATATGAGCACAAATTGCTTTCTGAATGATTCTACTAGCAGATACTTCCACAAGTGATATAGGAGAGGCTACCTCGTCACATCCGTGCCAACACTGAATACTAAAATTTTGCCAGTTTTATAGGAGGGGAAAACTACTGATATTTTTGTTGCTTTGATAATAGAAAGGGCTAAATGTTTTCATGTATTTGCTGGCTACTTGTGTTTCTTTTTGTGACTATTGTATGCCCTTTTTCTACTTTGAAATTCATAATCAGCTAGTCATAGCATCATGTAGGGGGAGGGCAAAGTTTTTCCTTTAGCAATAAGGGTTAAAATCATCCCAGGATTATAGGCGACCTTATTATGAAGGAAATAGCATTCAAAAATTTTACTTAGTTTTCTTATGACTGAGAAACATAGGTTCAAATAGTAGTTTGTCTAGATGTAGCAGCAAAGGTGAAAGTATGGAAAATAACATCAGTATAATTAACTATGAGTTTTCTTAATGCCTTGCAAACAATTAAATCACTTACAATTTAGCCATTTCAAAAATGGGCTGCTCTCTGAGTCAGGGTAATAATGTGATAGCTGTGCTTCAGTTTGATGTATGGAGAAAGGTCACCACATGGGTGGGGACAGGCATTTGAAGCTTCCTCAGAGTGGTGAGAAGAGGAAATAAAGAACTAAAGTGAGACAAATGCTGGCAATTATTGTTAGTTCCTGCGTTTATGTGTCACTGTCGATCAAGTTTATGCTAATTAAAATTTCAAATTGCTCCTGATATAAATACTTAACACTTTTTGATAATATTCATTTTTACTTGATAGTCAGACTGATGTTAATCCTCACATGCTCTACTTTGTTGTCACAGAGTTTTTTTTTTTTTTTTTTTTTGCTTTAATTGCAGAGATCTGAGTACTGCCAGTCTCCGCTACCTCAGCAGCAGGCAAGCCTTGGCTGACATTGTCAACTTCCAGACTGAAGCAGCAAAGAAAACGGGGCTCACCACAAATAAATGGGTTGTGTTTGGTTGCTCTTATGGTGGCTCCCTTGCAGTGTGGTCGAGAATAAAACACCCTGACCTGTTTGCTGCAGCAGTGGGCAGCAGTGCACCGATGCTAGCAAAAGCCAATTTTTATGGTGAGTTTATCTATAAATGGAGTCCTTGGGTGGCACAAACAGTTAAGACTCTGGGATGGTAACTGAAATGTTGGAGGTTCAAGTCCACCCAGAAGCACCTTGGAAGAAAGGTCTGGTGATCTACTTCTGAAAAATCAGCCACTGAGAACACTATGGAGCACAGTTCTATTGTGACACACATGAGGTCACCATGAGTTGGAATTGACTTGGCTGTAACTGGTTTGGTTTTTATGGTATATATAGGCATATATGTATTATATATATATAGTGACAAAAGTATCTGTAAGTTAGTGTTTGCTTAATCAAGCATGGCCCAATAACATAACATCGTGCAACTTAACTTGAGTCTTTCTCCCTTCCCATATGGTAGGGTTCCATGAGAGATTCCTATGCTACCAACAGCTGGTAGTTAGTATCCATATTTGCAGCTATGTAACTGGCCATAGCTTCTTAATGGGTGGAAATGAGGTGATAAGTCTTAGCTGTTGATTTGACAGTGAAAGAAATCATGATTTAGCTATTTCCAAAGAAGTAAAGGAAAAGCGCTTTTTTTGAAGAACGAAACTTTCCTATTTTGAAGTTGTCTTTCAATCTTCTTTCCTGCTACGTGACTTTGCAATAAAACATTTATAATTAATGGTGTTAGGATTTCTCCAGGTGGATAAAAACTCTTTGTTGGCAATTAGGGCTTCTGCATACATGTTCCCATTAAAATGAGTAAAATATAAAATTTCTACTTAATTAAGTTTTTTTCTTGCAAAAAGTAAATAACCCTCCCTCCCCCCAAAAAGTGATGCATTCCTTGTAAAATTTCCTTTAATGTTTGAAATTTTCAAATGTAAACAGTTTTGGTTTTTGTAGCCTTGATAGACTCTTATCTGATCCAATAAATCTGAAAGGTTTAAAATTGAAGCATCTCTCTCTTGTAAATGGTAAAACTATGGCCTAGCTCATTATTAGAACAGAACTTGCATAGCATCGTTATAAGTCTCTGGTTACTATTGACTTTTCTTGGCAATCTGACAAAATCCTTTGATTTTGAAGTTTCTTAACTTTGTCGTAAGATGGAGATAATTGCACACTTGAAAGAATTATATTTTATAAACGGTTACAATTAAATCATACTAAATGCTTCAATTTTTTTCCATATTCTTAGAGTACTTTGAAGGAGTTCAAAGGTCTCTGGGCACTCATAGCAGCGAATGTTTAAAAGCAGTGAAAGAGACTTTTGATAAAGTTGTGAAGATGCTGAAACATCAGAAATACTACAGTAAGCTTAAAAGTGATTTCAGGTAAGTGGATTGGTTTGTGTTTGAGGTAGTGGGCCTAAATATAGTCTTTTATTTACCTGAAGTTACACCATTAATGTTATTTTCTTACATGCATTGCATTTCTTTGGGCAAATCTGCCGCAAAAGATATCTTTAGAGTGTTCAACAACAAAGAAATCACATTAAAAACTAAGACGCACCTGACCCAAGCCATGGTGTTTTCAATCGCCTTATATACATGTGAAAGCTGCTCAAGGAATAAGACGGACCAAAGAAGAATTGTTGCCTTTGAATTATGGTGTTGGTAATATTGAATATACCCTGGACTGCCAGAAGAAGGAACAAATCTGACTTTGAAGATGTACAGCCAGAATGCTCATTATAAGCAAGGATGGTGAGACTTTGTGTCACATACTTTGGACATGTCATCAGAAGAGATCAGTCCCGGGAGAAGCACATCATGCTTGGGAAAGTAGGTGGTCAGGGAAAAAGAGGAAGACCCTCAACAAGATGGACTGACACAGTGTCTGCAACAATGTGCTCAAACATAACGATTGTGATGATGACACAGGACTGGGCAGTGTTTCATTCTGTGGTATGTAGGGTCGCAATGAACCTACTGGACAGCACCTAACAACAACAGCAACAAGCAAGAAGGAAATCATAGTTGTTTAACATCTGGAGTAGAGATTTCCATGGTAGTGGTGGAAGTTCTTTTTGAGTTACTTAAACTTAAAAAAGTTAGGGTCCAACAAGCATACTAAAATATGTTTTCATAGACTAATGGGATAACTAGCATGTTATAATTAGTACGCTTAGTGTAATCCACATGACCCAAAAACATGTAGTGTTTCTTCATATACAGATTCCTTGGTCACTCCGTTTTGTTGTTGTTAGGTGCCTAGAATTTGTTCCTACTTGTAGTGACTCTGTGTATAACACAATGAAGCACAACCCGGTCCTGTGCCAACTTCCCAATCATTATTGCAGTCACTGTGTCAGTCTATATCATTGAGGGTCTTCCTTTTTATCACCAACCCTCTTTTTGAACAAACATAATGTTCTTCTCCAGAGATTGATCTGTCCTGATGACATGCACACATTAAGCAACATGAAGTCTCATCACCTTCGATTCGAAGGAACGTTCTGGCTATGCTTCTCTCCCTAAACTTGCTGAATCAGAATCTCCAGGGGAACAGGATCTGTATTCTTCCTCTGGTTAAATACACAAAATATTCATTATATAAGTTTTGTGTCTTCTCAGCACAATTGGTAAAAAGATTGAAAATTTTAGCAGTTATTCTCTGCACTTTATCCCATTTCTGCCTCTGGCTTTGTTCACATGTTGCTCCCCATTCTGGAACCTTCTCCCTTTTCATCACACACAGGTCCTACCCATCATAAAACCTTGATTAAATCCTACCTCCTGTCTAAAGCAATAGTTGACAACTATATGCCCAACACTGTGCTAATAAGCCATCTTCACAACAACTCTGTGAAGGAGCTACTCTTCTCCTTCCTCTTATAAAGCCAAGGACAAGGAGGCTTGGAGAAATGAGGTTGTTGTTTTTGTTGGTAGCTGCTGTTATTAGGCCCCTGACTCCTGGCAACCCTATGCACAATGGGATGCAAAGCTGTCTGCTCCTCTGCCATCCCCTGATTGTTTGCCAATCATACTGCTGTGATCCATAGGATTTTCATTGCCTGTTTTTTGGAAGTAGGTAACCAGGACTTTCTTCCCAGTATGTTTAGACTGGAAGCTCCACTGAAATCTTTTCAGCATCATAGCAACTCATAAGCCCTCACTGACAGATAGCTGGTGGTTGTACATGAGATGTATCAGCCAGGATTTGAATCCAGGTCTTTCCCATGGTAGGTGAGAATAGTACCATCTATGACTCTTGAGGAGTAAGGCAGCAAGCCTAAATATCTCTCTGCAAGAAAGTGTTAGATGTGGGGTTTGAACATACTCTCTCACCAGGGACCTGTGTCACACTTAACAGGGACCAACAACCTTGTTAACGGCATTGTATAGCTCCAAGCATCTCCCTCTTCTCTCAGTCCCCTGGAACCCGCAGTCTCTACCCTGCAGTGAGCAATTATTTATAGGCTTTGCTGTTCTTTTCCAGTCAGAACTCAAACATAGCAAAGCCAGGGAGTATTTTCTATAGGCTCACACAGTTGGCTCAGCCACTTGGTTAGACTTGGAGAAAACATCTGAATTGTGAAAATTACAAGATCTTTTGTATGTCTGACTATAGGATATCAAGCAGCAAAAGAAAATATCAAATTCAGCTTCAATCTTTGTTCTAGAAATGATTTTTTTTTTTCCTACAAGAATTTAGGGGTGGGGAGGTTATTGAATGATGGAAATCTAAACGAAAAAGATCCCTTTCCAAAAGTCCTTGTTTAGGTCCTTGGAAATTTTGGACCACCCCTCTCAGACCACTCTCTGTTCTATGAGATTGTGCTGACCCAGGAAATATGAAAATTGTGCACTTGTGAAATCTTTTTTGGCCCAGATGAATTCTATATAGAAGGACACATAAATCTCCCTTTTAGAGGACAGACACACACTAAAGTGGTATACCAGAAATTTTTTAATATAGAGTTGGGTCAATGGATTTGCTGATGCAGTCACAAGTTTGAGTTAGGTCATTTTATAAAATGGATGAAGTAAAATGCATTTTTCTTAAACTATTTTTTTCCATTTATCAGTACTTACCCAATTTACTTTAAGAGTAATATTAGTTTCAACATTTTTTAAGTAAAGTTCAATTTGTTGCTGCTGTTAGGTGCTGTTGAGTCAGTTCTGACTCATAGCGACCCTATGTACAACAGAATGAAAAACTGCCTGGTCCTATGCCATTCTCACAGTTGTTGTTATGCTTGAGTCGCTTGTTGCTGCCACTGAGTCAATCTGTCTCATTGAGTGTCTTCCTCTTTTTTTGCTGACCCTCTACTTACTGAGTATGATGTCCTTCTCCAGGGACTGGGCCCCCCTGATAACATGTCCAAAGTATGTGAGATGAAGTCTCACCATTCTTGCATATAAGGAGCATTCTAGCTGTACTTCTTCCATGACAGCTTTGTTCTTTATTTTGGCAGTCCATGGTATATTCAGTATTCATTGCCAACACCTTAATTGTGTTTATTTTGAAATTAGACATAATATTTTATAGTCACGTATCGTACATTTAATTTAATTTCCCATGATTTCCCACTCTAGATACATTTCTGTGAATAGCTGTGAGAGTGATGCCTGATTTTTGAAAGTACGAAACTCTGTCAGTATTCTACGTACTTTTTTTTTTAATTTACAAATGACATTTTATTTTTCTTAAAATTTTTTCGTACATTATTTTTTTCTCTTTTTATTCTTATTTATTACTTATACTGTAGATGAAGGTTTGCAGAGCAAACTACCTTCTCATTAAAAAAATAAGGTACATTTTGTTTTCTGACATTGGTTGCCAACCTCACAACAAGTCAACACTCTCCCCTTCTTGAACTTAAGTTCCCTGTTACTAGTTTTCCTGTCCCCTCTTGCCTTCTTGTCCTTGCCCCTGAGCTGGTGTGTCCAATTAGTCTCTTTTTTTTTTTTAATGAGTTAAAATTTTGTACTACATTTTTCTGCAGCCCCGTCTGGGACCCTCTATTGTGATCCCTGTCAGACCAGTTAGTTGTGGTAGCCGGGCACCATCAACTGCGCTTGAATCAGTCTGTTGGAGGCTGTGGTAGTTCTCCTTGTCCTTTGGACTTATCTTTCCCTTGTGTATGTTTTCTTCATTCTCCCTTGCTCCAGACAGGGTGAGACCAGTGGAGTATCTTAGATGGTTGCTCACAAGCTTTTCAGACCTCAGATGCTACTCACCAAAGTGAGATGTATAACATTTACTTTATAAACTATATTATGCCAGTAGAACCAGGTATACCCGCAGATCATGGTCCCCAGGCCTCAATCCATTAATTCAGTCTCTCATGGAGTTTAGATGTGTCTGTGAAGTTTCTATTACCTTTTCTTGGTCAAGTTCCACTAACTTCCCCAGAATTGTGTACTGTCTTACCCTGCACCAAAGTTATCATTTATCTATCAACTAGTTACTGTTTTTCTCTTCCCACCCCTCTTCTCCCTCATAACCATCAAAGATTGTTTCTTTATGTGTGTAAACATTTTCATGAGTTTTTATACTAGTGGTCTCACACAATACTTGTCCATTGGTGATTGACTTATTTCACTCAGCATAATATACTCCAGATTCATCTATGTTGTGAGATGATTCACAGATTCATCAATGTTCCTTATTGTTATGGAACATTCCATTGTGTGTATGTACCATAGTTCATTTATCCATTCATCTGTTGATGGACATCTAGGTTGTTTCCATCTTTTTGCTATTGTGAACAATACTGCAATGTACAAAGATGTGCATATGTCTGTTTGAGTGACAGCTCTTATTTCTCTAGGATAAATATAAAACGAAACAAGTATAAAGATCATAGAAGATAGAATAGGATCAATGCTAGAGTCCTTAATACAAGATATTAATAGGATAAAACCATAACTAACAATACACAAGATAAGCTAGATGTCATAGATTCAATCGTGTCCTCCAGAAACATCTGTCAACTTGGCTAGGTCATGATTCCAAGTATTTTATGATTGTTTACCATTTTGTCATCTAATGTGATTTCCTTATGTGTTGTATATTCTACCACTATGATGTAGTAAGATGGATGAGTGGCAGTTATATTGATGAAATCTACAAGATTAGTGTCTAAAGCCATTTTCTTTTGAGATATAAAAGAGAGAAGCAAGCAGAGAGATTTGGCACCACATACCACCAAGAAGGCAGTGGTGGGAGCAGAGTGCATCCTTTGAACTGGAGGTCACTGTGCTGAGATGCTCCCAGAACGGGAGAAGACTGATGACAAGGACTTTCCTCCAGAGCCAGCAGAGAAAGCCTTCTCTTGGAGCTGATGCCCTGAATTTGGACTTGTAACCTACTAGACTGTGAAAGAAAAAAACTTCTCTTTGTTGAAGCAATCCACTTGTGGTACTTCTGTTATAGCAGCACTAGATAACTAAGACACTAGATAACTGGGATCTTCTAAAAATTAAACACTTATGCTCTTCAAAGAGTTCACCAAAAGAATAAAGAGAGAGCCTATAGACTACCATCTAGTTGTGCTGGACTCAGTGTGATGGAAGCTGTGTTAGTTGTGGTCCCTTAGGTCTTTAGACTAATCTTTCCCCTATGTCTTTGGTTTTATTCATTCTCCCTTGCTCCAGATAGGGTGAGACCAGTGGAGTATCTTAGATGGCTGCTCACAAGCTTTTAAGACCCCAGATGTACTCAGCAAAGTAGAATGTAGAACATTTTATTTATAAACTACGTTATGCCAATTGAGCTAGATGTTCCTTGAGACAGTGGTCCCCACTGCCGTCAGCCCAGTAATTTGGTCCCTCAGGGAGTTTGGATGTGTCTATGGAGCTTCCATGACCTTGCCTTGGACAATTTGTGCTGGCTTACCTAGTATTTTGTACCGTTTTACCCTTCAACAATGTTACCACCTATTTATTGTTTACTGAGTATTGCGCGTTGCTTTGCAGATTCGTCATTGTTCTTTATTATTGTGTAGTACTCCATTGTGTATATGTACCGTAGTTTATCAGTTCATCTGCTGATGGCACCTAGGTTGTTTCCATCTTTTTGCTATTGTGAATAATGCTGCAATGAACGTGGGGGTGCATATGTCTATTTGTGTGACCGCCCTTATTTCTCTAAGATACATTACTAGGAGTGAGGTTTATGGATCATATGGTATTTTTATTTCCAGCTTTTTTAGGAAGCACTATATCATTTTCCAAAATGGTTTTATCATTTTGCATTCCCACCAGCCGTGCATAAGTGTTTCAATCTCTCAGCAGCCTCTCCAACATTTGCTGTTTTCTGTTTTTGTTTTTGATTCTTGTCAGTAATGTTGGTGTATCTCTTTGTAGTTTTGGTTTGCCTTTCTCTAGTGGCTACTGATCATGAGCGTTTTCTTCACGTATCTTTTATTCACTTGAATGTCTTCTTTGGTAAAGTATCTGTTCATATTCTTCGTACCTATTTTAATTGGATTATTTGTCTTTTTGTTGTAGAGGTGTTGGATTTTCCTGTAGATTTTAGAAATTAGACATTTGTCAGATTTATAATAGCCAAAATTTTTTCCCTGTTTGTAATTTGTCTTTTTACTTTTTTGGTCAAGTCTTTCAATGAGAGTAAGTCTTTAAGTTTTAGAAGATCCCAGTTATCCAGCTTACCTCCCGGTGTTTTTGTGTATTGTTATGGTTTGTACCCTGTTAAATGACTTGTATTAGCATCTCTAGTATTGACCTCCATTTTTTTTTCCTATGATCTTTATTGTTTTAGGTTTTATATTAAGTCTTTGATCCATTTGGAATTACTTTTTGTGTATGGTATGAGAAATGAGTTCTGTTTCATTTTTTTTGCAGAAGGAAATCCAGTTTTGCCAGCACCATTTGTTAAAAAAACTTTTTGTTATGTATTTGATGGACTTTGGGCCTTTGTTGATGATCAGGTGACCATAGGTGAATGGATTTACATCTGGGTCCTCAGTTCTGTTCCATTGGTCAAGTCGTCTGTCATTGTACCTATACTTGGCTGTTTTGACTACCATAGCTGTGTAGTAGGTTCTGAGGTCAGATAGTGTGAGTCCTCCTACTTTATTCTTCTACATTCTTTACTTATTCAGGGCTTCTTTCCTTTCCATATAAAGTTAAAGATTAGTTTTTCTATCTCTTGAAAGAATGCTGTTGGCATTTGGATCGCTATTGCATTGTATTTTTAGACTACTTTGGGTAGAATTCACATTTTCACTATGTTAAGTCTACCTAGCATGAGCATGATATGTTTTTCCATTTATGTAGGTCTCTTTTGGTTTTTCACAGTAGTATATTTTGTAGTTTTCTTGGTATAGTTCTTTTATATCCCTGGTTATATTTATTCCTTAGTATTTTATGCCTATTTATAAAGAAGCTGATTTAATAGAATGTGGAAATTATCAAACAATATCATTTATATCACGTGCATGTAAAATTTTACTGAAGATCTTTCAAAAGCTGCTACGGCAGTATACAGAGAGAGAACTTCCAGAAGTTCAAGCCAGATTTAGAACAGGATGTGGAACCAGGATATCATCGCTGATGTCAGATGGAACCTGACTGAAATCAGAGAATACCAGGAAGGTGTTTACCTGTGTTTTACTGACCATACAAAAGTATTCGACTGTGTGGATCATAAAAAAATTATGGATAACATTTCAAAGAATGGGAATTACTGAACATTTAAATTTTTGCTCATGAGGAACCTGTACATAGATCAAGAGGTAGTCATTAGAATGGAACAAGGGGATACTGTCCAGTTTAAAGTTAGGAAAAGTTTGTGTCAGTGTTGTATTCTTTCACCATACCTTTTCAAGCTCTATGCTGAGAAAATAATCTGAGAAGCTGAACTATATGAAGAAGAATAGGACATCAGGATTGGACAAATACTCAGTAACAATCTGCACATTATGCAGTTGATACAACCTTGCTTGCTGGAAGTGAAGAGTACTTGAAGTACTTTATGATGAAGGCCAAAGACCACAGCCTTCAGTATGGATGACACCTCAACATAAAGTAAACAAAAATCATCAAAACTGGACCAATAAGTAACATCTCTTAAACTTAGAAAAGATTGAAGTTGTCAAGGATTTCATTTTATTTGTATCCACAATCAACTCCCATGGGCCTAGCAGTCAAGAAATCAAAGGACTCATTGCATTGGGAAAATCTGCTGCAAAAGACCTCTTGAAAGTTTTGAAAATCAAAAATGTCACCTTGAAGACTAAGGTGCATGTGACCCAAGCCATGGTGTTTTCAAATGCTTTCTATCCATGCAAATCTGGAAGATGAATAGGGAGAATTGATGCCTTTGAATTCTGGTGTCAGCTAAGAATATTGAATATACCATGGACTTCCAAAAAATGGACAAATCTGTCTTGGAATAAGTACAACCAGAATGGTCCTTAGAAGCAAGGATGGCGAGACTACCTCTCACACAATTTGGACATATTATCAGGAATGATCAGTCCCTGGAGGACATCATTCTTGGTAAAGTAGAGGGTCAGCAAAAAAGAGGAAGACCTTCAACCAGGGTCACAATGTTATATAGGAATGATGATAAAAGTCATCCTTGTCTTGTTCCTGTTCTCAAGG